AGCGCGCTCGCCCGCCCAATAGGGCGGGCTCGCGGTGAGTGGATATGTATACAGGGTGTCTGACACTCTCCTCCGGGCATTTTGGAGGGACGTAGAACAAGTTGAGGTGAACATAATAGTCCTATACTGTTTTGCGATATTCGCAATAATTATTGAGATATTAATTGTAGAAAACTTGTAAATGATCATGCAGAATATGGTAAATGAGTTATAATAGCGACGACTGCCGTCGTGTACTTATATTTTAGATCAAATTGAACAAAAAAGTCTTCTACCATTTTCCAAATAATCACATAGATTTCTAATTATTAATTAAAGAAGATTAATGCACGATTTCGCGTGATAATACACTGATCTTCTTTAATTAATAATTAAAAATCTATGTGATTATTTGCAAAATGGTAGAGGACTTTTTTGTTCAATTTGATCTAAAGTATAGACGGCAGTCGTCGTTATTATAACTCATTTACCATATCCTGCATGATTCACAAATTTTCTACAATTAATATCTCGATAATTATTGCGAATATCGCAAAACAGTATAGGACTTTTATGTTCACCTCAACATATTCTACGTTCCCACAAAATGCCCGGAGGAGAATGCGAGACACCTTGTATATAATAGGAACAAACGCACCCACCGCGAGCCCGTCCTTGCAGGCGAGTAGTACATGCGTGCGTGCGTGCGTGCGTGCGTGAGTGCGTGCGTGTGTGTGTGTGTGTGTGTGTGTGTGTGTGTGTGTGTGTGTGTGTGTGTGTGTGTGTGTATGGCAGGCATCTTCCAAGCTTACAAATTCGATGTTGTTGTATATACGGTGTCCAAAAATTTTATCCAATCATTTTATGCAACTTTTATTAGTAACTTTTTAATAAACAATGAGCGACGGTTAAAACCTCTTGATTGTTACACTGAGAGAAAAATTTTGTAATATAAAAAAAATATATTTTTTTGAAATCAAATTTGTTGACGAAAATAAATATTTATGTCATTTCAAAAAATATTTTGTAACATAAGACAATTTACGAATTAAATCAAAGAAAACTTTCTATTACTTAAAATCAAATATAAATTTTTTCAAACCAATAACATATGTATTTAAAACTGAAAAAAGTATATATTATAATTTAATAAATCGGTGTTTTTAAAATAAGCAGCTGGAAAAAATAAAATTATTTTTTTACTTTAAATTATTCTAGCTATTTAAAATTAAATACATGATTTGTTTGATATTATTTCATAAAAATAAAAATATATTTTATTGAAATTATAAATACAATATATATTAGATTAAATGTATGTTTTATATTAAATACAATATATATTGGGAGTACAAATAAGTCTCCGCTGTTTGACAAAAGATGGCACCAGTAAGTTATGGTTGAAATTGTCAGATGTGAAACGTCATATCGTAAAGTTGGACATCTGGCAACACTATAACCTTGAAATATTAGCGATTTTGTATCAGCATCACATAATTTTTTCATGCGAAAATGTCGAGTTTTGAGCCGAATAAGCGTCATTTGCGGGAACTTTTGATTTACTTCTTTAATTTGAAGAAATCTGTAGCTGAGGCGCATCGATTGCTTGTAGAAGCATATGGTGAGGCTGCTTTAAGTGAAAGAAGTTGTCGTGAGAGATTTCAAAAGTTTAAAAACGGTGAGTTTGATATCGAAGATAAAGAACGTAACGGAAGGCCAAAAGTGTACGAAGACGCGGAATTGGAAGCATTATTGGAGGAAGATTCGTGCCAAACGCAAGAAGAACTTGCACTTACATTAGGAGTGACTCAACAAGCAATTTCACATTGTTTAAAATCGTTGGGAATGATTCGAGAGCAAGGAAATTGGGTTCCATATGAACTGAAACCGAGAAACGTTGAACGCCGATTTTGCACATGTGAAATGCTGCTTGCCAGGCATAAACGAAAGGGTTTCTTGCATCGTATAGTCACTGGTGATGAGAAATGGATCCACTACGATAACCCAAAGAAGAGGAAATCATGGGGACCACGTGGCCATGCTTCAACATCAACAGCCAAGCCGAATATTCATGGAAAAAAACTCATGTTGTGTATTTGGTGAGATCAGCTTGGTGTCGTGTATTATTAGTTGCTCAAACCGAACGAAACCATTACTGGGGATCTCTACCGAACATAATTGATGAGATTGAGGCGAGCACTCAAGGAAAAACGCGCCCACTACTACTCTAGACACGACAAAATTATTCTCCTGCATGATAATGCTCGTCCACATGTTGCGGCGACGGTCAAAACCTACTTGGAAACACTCAATTGGGAAGTTTTACTCCACCCGCCGTATTCACCAGACATTGCTTCCTCTGACTATCACTTGTTTCAATCGATGACGCACGGCCTATCTGAGCAGCACTTCACATCATATGAAGATACCAAAAATTGGGTCGATTCGTGGATAGCCTCAAAAGATGAAACGTTCTTCCGACGCGGTATCCGTATGCTGCCAGAAATATGGGAAAAAGTAGTGGCTAGCGATGGACAATACTTTGAATAAAACATAAGGTACCGTTCTTTCACAATAAATGCCCAATTGTTTATAAAAAACGGCGGAGACTTATTTGTACTCCCAATAGAATATATAAATTACAAAATAATATTTCTTATATTCTTCTCGATTCGTGAAAATATGTTTTGTATTTATATTGTATTTATATTGTATTTATTTCTATATTGTATTTATTATATTCTATATTTATTGTATTTTATATATTGTATTGAAAATATATTTTCACGAATAGAATATTCGAATAGAATAGAATATTAGAATATAAGAAATATTATTTTGTAATTTATATATTCTATATATCTTATTTAATATAAAACATATATTTGATCTAATATATATATATATATATATATATATATTGTATTTATAATTTCAATAAAATATATTTTTATTTTTATGAAACAATATCAACAAGTTAATCATGTACTTAAATTTAAATAACTAGAATTATTTAAAGAATTGTGTAAAAAAAGAATTGCACTGTTTCCAGCTGCTTATTTTAAAAACACCGATTTATTAAATTATAATATATATTAGGTGTACAACTTTGCTTCCGCCGAATTTTTCCGAAATTCGAGGCTTTATTGTAAAAATCTGGTTATACATTTATGATTCAAAGTATTGTCCATCGTTCACCACTGCTTTCTCCCATCTTTCGGGCAGTGTACGAATCCCACGTCGAAAAAACTGGTCATCTTTTGAGGCGATCCACGAATCGATCCAATTTTTTACTTCTTCATAAGACCGGAAGTGCTGGTCAGCTAGGCCGTGTGCCATTGATCGAAACAAGTGATAGTCAGAGAAAGTAACGTCTGGAGAATACGGCGGGTGGGGTAGGACTTCCCATTTCAACGTTTCCAATTATGTCTTGACTACTTTCGCAACATGGGATCGAGCATTGTCATGCTGCAAAATCACTTTATCGTGTCTCTCGTTGTATTGCGGCCGTTTGTCTTTCAATGCTCGGCTCAAATGCATCAATTGCGTTCGATACCGATCGCCTGTGATTGTTTCAGTCGGTTTTAACAGCTCATAATATACTACGCCGAACTGGTCCCACAAAATACACAGCATGACCTTGGAGCCGTGAATATTCGGTTTGGCCGTCAACGTGGAAGCATAGCCGGGAACTCCCCATGATTTTCTGCGCTTGGGGTTATCGTAATGAACCCATTTTTCGTCCCCAGTCACAATGCGATGCAGAAATCCCTTCCGTCTTTGTCTTTCAAGCAGCTGTTCACAAGCAAACAAACGCCGTTCAACATCTCTCGGCTTCAATTCATACGGCACCCAATTTCCTTGCTTCTGAATCATTCCATCATTCATTTGAGGCGTTTTGAAATGGCTTGTTGAGTCACTCCCAATAATCGTGCCAATTCTTTTTGATTTTGACACGAGTCTTGATCAAGTAATGCTTCTAATTCTGCATCTTCGAAAACCTTCTCTCTTCCACCGCTATGCCGGTCTTCGACGTCAAAATCACCGTTCTTGAAGCGTTAAAACCACTCACGACACGTTCTTTCACTAATAGCGGCCTCACCATAATTTGAGAACATTCGATGAGCCTCAGCCGCAGATTTCTTCATATTGAAGCAGAAAATTAAAACCTCCCGCAAATGACGAGAATTTGGCTCGTAAACTGATATTTTCAATTGAAAATAACTTTATGATGCAGGCACAAATCGACTAATGTTTCTATGGGATTATGTTGACAGATGCCCAAGTTTATTGTATGACGTTTATGATCTATTTATTTCGATCACCACTTACCGCTAAAGCCATCTATAGAAAAACGGCGGAAGCAAAGTTGTACACTTAATACTTTTTTTAGTTTTAAATACATATGTTATTGGTTTGAAAAACTTTATATTTGATTTTACTGCTAGTACTGAAAATCTACAATTAGCGTCATATATACCATAGATTTTCAGTGCTGTTAGGTAAATAACCTTGTGCCTTTCACGCGGCTTTGGCTGCGTTCGCATTGAAAGTTCACGCGTTGTAAGCGTCGTTATATTTTTTTGGAATATAAGTAATAAATATGGAACAATGCTTATAGAAACCGTGTTTCGTTTTTACTACCAATATTGAAGATCTACAATTTGCGTCATATATACTATAGATTTTCAGCATTAGTAGTAAAACCGGAACGCGGCTTCTATATTGAGAAAAAAATTTAGTAGTTTCAAAAAAATAATATTTGAGTCAAAAAAATAATTTTTTTAAATACGTTTAACCAAATTATTTATTTCAATGTAACGTTAAATGCATTAACGTTATTAAATATGTAAGTATCATAGGAACAAAGATAACTTTTTGTTGAAAGTAATACATTTTTTATTGAACTCAAAGAAATATTTATTTATTTCGAATATGTGTAAATATCAATTTAAACAAATGTAGTTTTTAATGTAACGTTTTTTTTGCATATACAACGTGTAGTTTAAAGTAAAGTAAATAACTTCTTCAACTAAAAGCATCATTTTTTTAACGAAACAAATATTTTTTAAAAAGAAAAAATTGTTTTCTTATATAAAATAACAAGTATATACTGTAAATAATATGCTTTTTTAAACAAAATAAATATTTTTTTAAACAAAGAATTTGTTTTTTAAAATCAAATAACAAGTATTTAATACCAACAATATATTTATTAGGAGAAAGAATTGATCTCCTCATTATATGCCGAAAAGAAATAAAACGCTTACAACGCGTGAGTGTCCAAAGTGAACACAACCAAAGACGTGCGAAAGGCACGAGGCTGTTTACCTAACAACAGCAATGCCGCCAGCGCTAACGTAGCGTCTTCGCGTAGAGATGAAGAGTGGAACCGTAATATATTGCGCGCGACAAAAACAAACGAGAGCGTGAGCGAGCCTAACGCTCGCGTGTTCTACATGCTCGTTTATCGCGCGCAGAGCATCATGGTCCCATCGACGTTGTGAGCATAAGTGAATATCTTCTTGAAACTTCTCGACGGCAGGAGAGAGTTATTCGAAGTTATCCTGTAATAGTTTGTTCGAGATTCTCATGTAAAATCGATACAGTGATAAGATACAGTGATCTGATGGATCAAGCATAGAGACGTGAGTATTTAACCTCTCTTTTTCTATCTTACGTAGCGATATAAATATTCCATAGACTTATAGAATAGACTGTGCGATTTCAAAGGAAGCTTAGATGGAAGGACGGATATATGCGTAGAATAAGTTTTGTTGTTTTGTCGTGTAGTTAATAAAAAAGAAAGAAGAGAAGACGCGATATATGCCCGTACTGGTTATTCTCTTTCTTTCTCACCACGATTAGACTAGAAAAGTGTTACTTTACGCATATATCTAACTTTACATCTAGACGTGAATCTTTCCCACGAACCGCGCTATCTATTCTAGAATTTTGTGAAAATTTTTGCCTTCGTAGCAATCTCGCTCTCTCTCTCTCTCTCTCTCTCTCTCTCTCTCTCTCTCTCTCTCTCTCTCTCTCT